CCTACGATGCATACACACTCTTCACTCATGAGGATCTACTCTGGATACTACTCATAGCTACATACTAACCCACTACTACTAATGCTAACTTGCTGGGCAGCTATGGCTGCATCACTTTCAGCATACAGGCTTCTCCCTTCACTCAGCGCATCTTCTCCTTCCAGCGCTGCTCCTACTGGCTCAACGCACAAGTGCACCAGCACTTCCACGCAAAGAATGCCAGTGGAGATCTGGCGAGGAATGAGGCTGGCTGCCTCTTTTATACTCCTTGCTGGGTCTGCATTGGCTCAAACCAGCSTTCCTTTTGTCYCAGACCCYGCATTGCATGTGTCCCAGTAGAGTCCCAATGAAGTTCAACTGCTGCTGAGGCCTCCCGGCCTGAATTTGGACTTGAAGGTCTGGATCTGGACTGACCCCTAGACTTAGACCGGAACTGGGACTGTGCCTATTGACTTTATTTTCGGACAGGCACAACTCTCAACGAACAGACACATTTACTGCTTGAACAGACACTTTACTTTGCACGAACAGGTACACTGCCTGCATGTACAGACACACTCTTACCCAAACAGACATGACATACACATCTCCTGGTGAACAGGTAAGTCTTTTGACAATGCCCTTTGCCTTAGCTTTAGATATGCCTGTTGACAGAGAACTTGACCTTTGACCTGCTTTCACGTTTCTGAGCTCTGGCAAGATACCTTTTCACAATGCTTTACTTTTTCAAGGCCCGTGCTGCTTTATTTTTACAAGGCCTGAGGCCTATATCGAGTAAAGGCCCTTTTACAGTATGTGAACAATAGCATAAATAACCCCAGGGGGTGATAGAGCATCCATTCCTGGTTGAATGGGGCTCTGATCAATGCCTCGTAATTGCAGTTCAAATTGTTCCACGCTGGCCGCTGCTGCTATATAGCGGAGCCGCTTCTTAAACCAGCGACCTGCGTCATAGAGACCAGTATTCCATTCATGATGTGCAACCCAGTCAACTCTATTAGGCTGTCGCGCATAGCGGTGACGGGAGGAAGAGTGAGGGGGGTTAGCACACGGAGGATCGCAAGAAGGATATGTGGTTCGTGCCGCGCCACCGGCACAGGGATCCCCGTTCAAATCCCTTTCCTGATTCTCACGTTGCGTTGCTGACATCATAGGGTGAAGTATTTCTCAAATTTCGGAAATTTTACTGTCTAAAGTGGAACAAGTTTATAAAACCTGGTAGAGGAGGAAAAGAAAGTAGTCAAAAGGTAACCCCATAGTCCAGGGTTTTAGGCCCGCCGGCTCAGCTCGGGGAGGCTGCCGACGTCCCTTGCAGGAGGTACTCGCCACAAAGTTGTCCAAGTGATGGGTCGGCTAGTATGCAGAACGCCTCCACCTGTGAGTGTGCTCTGGGCAACCGTCCCAGACGCCGGGCACAGCAGGACTAGCTATTCTGTTCGGAGGAGGTGTCCGATCATCACCCGAAACTTTGTGTACAAGGTTTATGTCAGGGAGAACGTCCAGCAAGGGTGAGATGAGTAGGAGTACTCCGCACCTGAGTTTGGCACACCTTGGGTGGGGAGCTAACTATACTCACTGCGCGGAAGGAAAGGGCAAGAAACCGCGCCCTTACGGGATGTGTGTGTGTGTGTGTGTGTGTGTGTGTGTGTGTGTGTGTGTGTGTGTGTGTTGTAAATGTTCCCCACAACATCCCCTGTTCCACCCAGATAAGTAGATCCAAAATTGCAGCAACTTTACCTCTATTGTTGAAGATGAAGTACGCTTGAGATGAATCAATCCAGCATGGAAACAGTGTTGCTTCCATAGTAAGCAACATGGGGCACAATAGAAACGTTACCTTTATGCAAGCAATGCCTTCACGAGTAGATCCAACATCATAGGAACCTGACCTTTATGCAAGCAATGCAGAATACTTGAGAGGGGGTTACCCAACAGTGAGACAGTTAGCAATATGATAGAGAATAGATCAATTATGCCATTTTCTTGAATATAATAATATATTCATCATTTTTATCATTGGGAGGCCTCCCAATTTATTTGTTCTTACACTGTGCCTCTCACTTACAAGGCTGGCCACGTTGATGATGGTTAAGCGCCCTCTGCCCACATCCCCGTGTGCCTTATCGGCCCACTTGCACGTTATGAAAGGAGGCAGAGTAAGGTGACTTGTTGTAGTTTTTGTGTGTGCGTGTGTGTGTGTGTGTGTGTGTGTGTGTGTGTGTGTGTGTGTGTGTGTGTGTGTGTGTGAGAG